GCCAACGGAACTTGCCGGAATCACATCGGCAACACTTTGTTTTGGCTGAAACCAGGTTTGCCAAAGGCCGTCCAGTAGAAACAGGCATTCCTTTGAGGAATCCAGGTCAGTCTGGATGGTATCAAATCCGAGCTCGTTGAGTGTCCATCTTCCCTTTGACATCACATGACGAAGGAAGCTACTGCCTGTGCTTTTGGTCAAGGAGTCAGAAATCATATTGCGACCATCAATCCACCTAATGGTACCTCCATGAGCAAGCTCGTTCTTGATGATCGAAATGTCTATGGCCGTTCTTTTGTCATCGATCTGACTGTAAGGACAGGTTTGCTTGGACAGGGAGTCGTACAAAGACTTTGAATCAGTAACCGCTAAATAAGGAATCCGAGCCAATGACCTTTCCCAGTCCTGATCGGTGAACTCGCCTCCTTGAGCTTCAAGAAGCAAGAACCTGTGCCAATGAACATTTCCGATGCCGCTGGCGAGGGCCTGACACTCGGCCGACAAGGTATTCACCACCTTCCGTTTAAGCTTGTAGCTTTTCCAGCTGGAAATGGTCACAGCAGCTGACGGCTCACACTGCAAATCCTGATCATGAAAAATCAACAAGTGTCCTCCCTGGCTACTGGTACGCCGATTCTGAAGAAACTTCTCCGAAATCTCAGTATGATCAAGACCCTTGTTACTTTTGACAAACACAGTCTGACCGGTCCAGGCCGAACCAGCCACCAAACTGACTTGATTTCCGTTCCAGGTGTCCTCTTGCTTGCTTTCTTGATTGTCCTGGTTGAAGTACGTAGTTCGGGACGCCTCGATCGTATGCAAGTCGGGGCCATTATCAACCATCCCGGGATGAAACAAGGTCCGTCGGGGTTGAACATGTTTCCTAATCCAATGGTCTTGAGTCTCAATCCAGAAATCCCGTCCCGAGTCTTCGGTTGATCCAGCACCCTCGGCATTGCCCCAGGACGCATCCGTAACAGCGCTAACCCGAAGCCTGGTGATCGGTATCGGGGAGATACGGATACCAACTTGAAACTTCTCGGCTTCCGAGGCCAGTTGGTTGGCGCTGATAATGTCACGAATCCTAGGCTTAGGAAACTGCTGTTGTAACAGTGACACCCGGCCACACAGATCCGGTCTTGTCTCCTTGGCAAGCCATGCTAATGCACCAACAAGTGATCGTAGCAGACCAATTTCTTGTTCATTACAGTAGGAGTATCTTTGGCCTTTACGGGTCCTGCTAAGGGGGATCTTGTGAACCTTCTCAGACACATAGTGAAACTGATCCACAACGATGCTACCATCTCCCTGGGGGGTAAACTGTTTTCCCGTGAACCTGCCACTGCCATACTGGAACTTACCGAGTTTATACTTCTGGTTCAACAGTTGCATCTTGGCCTGGTGTGCCTCGTCGCCACCATGGAGCATGTCATCGGTAGCAACTGACACAATGCCGACGAGTTTATCCCAGCCGGTCTTGGCGTCATCATGAAGAAAATAGATGCAAGGATCCGCAAGGCTTTGAACATAGCCCAGTTCCTCAAGAAGCACCCTTTTCAAGTGTCTGAACCAGGCCATCGGACCATCCAATAAACCATAGCAAGTCTTAAGGAGACGAAGAAGTTCTCCTTTCTTCATTCCCGGAACACCTTCCGGAGGTTGCTCCGCATACAGTTCTCTACGAATCGGATCCCCTGAATGGAAGGCCTGGGTAAAATCCAAGAACCCCAAGTTCCAGCGTTTGCTAGCAATGACCTGGGCCGTAAACATAACCCCTTCTCTAGTCACCTGAGGAGTAGCCGACTCTAAGTCTTCAGCACCTTCTTCCGAAAATCCCTTCATGACATGTCGAACCTTTGCCTTGCATGGACCGCCGTGCTCACCGTGCAAAAGCGTTCCCTCACACTGGGCCTTGTCGACATCATCATGCTCGAGCGGCTTCGCCGTCCGAACATATCTGGACTCCATGATCCGGTCGGGCTTTTCCCGTCGGATCTGCTCGCTGGTCTCCGCGTTGAGCTTCTCGTAGGCCTTGGTCTCGAGGTTATTGTTGATCTCCTTCTCAGTGGCTTTGAGGAAGCAGTCCAAATCCTGTTGATTCAGGTCCTTTAGCCGGATCTCCTTCCGCTGCCGTGTTTTGAACAGCGTCTCAAGTTTGGCGTAGTAGATCTCGAGGAGATGCGTCCGTGACCTCTTGGTTGGCGGTTCGGTCGGGTCTTCGTCGTCAAGAACTTCTGGTTCAGCTGGAGGTTCGCCGTCCTCATCCGGTAGAGCAGGTCCAGGTAGACGTTCCCAGATTCCCATGGTCGTGTCGGTCTGGATGGCTCCTTCGGGCCGTGCGTTGGCTGCTGGCTCGGGTCGTAGTTCTGGTTCCGCAGTCTCCCGTGCTCGTAGAGCATCCAGGCTGGTTTTCTGCCGGATGCGGCGGCGGTCCAAGTTGACCGCTGGCTCCAGATCCATTCCAGTGTCCTCCTCGTCCGGCTCGTACTCGATCGTGTCCTGGTACTCGGGTACAGGCTCCTTGCAGAGGTCGATGTAGCCGCGCTTCGGCTCCTTCTCGAACTCTTCCTTGGCTTTGGTTAAGCCGTCCAGCCAGCCTGTCACCGACAGGTTTTCCTCGATGCTCCCTGGGCGAATGCGCTCAGGCGAGGCCTTGACGAGGTTCCCCTGGTAGCTGAGCCACACCGTGGACGGCATGTCCGTCATAATGACTCGGGCTGGTCCATGCCATCTTTGGTGAGGTCGGTCTCCTTTCTTGGAATGCCCCAACCGGTAGAAGTAGACCATCTGTCCGACCACATAGTCCTGTTGCGGGCGGGGGCCGCCAGCAATGACATTCCTGAGGGCCTGGTCGCAGTCCACCTCGAAGAAGGCCTTGGCTGCCGCCTTCCTCATGTTCATCGCGCGAACCACGCCTCCATCGCCTAGCCGGAGCTCCTTTCCCGCTTCGGCGTCGTCGTGGCCTTCCGACAGTAATCCCCCAGGTAGTCGGGGGAGGTATCCCATAACTCGTTGGATAGGTGAATATCCGCCCCTTGACGCCAGGCGGTTCTTCATCATCACGGCTGTGTCCACAAGCTCGCTCCATTCCGAGAGGCTGGAGCAGTTGTAGTCCGCCATCACCTTTTCCAGGAGCATTTTAAAAGTCCGTCCATGTCGTTCAGCAAGTCCTCGTTGAAAGGGGGATTCCAGGCTGCTGGGATCCATGCGGGTGCCCTCCTGGGCGGTCCTGAGTCGGAAGCTGCCCTTGAACTCGCCTCCTTGGTCGGCCCAGATTTGTTTCGGGGGCCCGAAGAATCGAACCCACTGCCGGTAGGCGCTCCAAACTGCTTCTGGGCTTCGTCCTTTCAGGGGGATAATCATTTGGAAGTGAGAGGCGTAGTCGATGATGTTCAGGGCAATCTTCTTGCGCTTCTGTCCCACTGTGGGTAGCCAAACCGTATCCATGCCAATGGTTTCGTTGATCCCGAACTCGCGTGGTGGTGCCGCCCTCCTGGGTGGCCTCGTTTGTAAGAACTTCTCGCACACACTGCACTTAAGAGCCTGGGCGATCTTGATCACGTCCTCTGATGCCTTGGCTGCCTTCAGGATTCTGATGAAACGCTCCTTGTGGGGATGTCCTAGACCATCATGCGCTCGACGAACCAGCTGCTGTAGGGTCCTGTGACGGCTTCCTGGTAGTGCCTTCTCTTCGGCACCTAGATCTGCCCCTCCGTCTTCCGGTGGATCAGGTACTGGTTGATCTCCAGGATCGCTCGTCTCTTGGCCTTCACCTTGCGGGTGATCAGGTAATCGAACTGGTCCTGCGCCTCCATCTCGTGCTGGGCCTCCGTCTTCCGGTGGATCAGGTACTGGTTGATCTTCAGGATCGCTGGCCTCTTGGCCTTCACCGTCGGGTGGATCGGGTAATCGGACTCGTCCTTGGTCGTCTAGGCGAGCTCTTACTCGTCTCTGATAGTAGATCTCGGCTTCCGTCGGTGTTCGCCATAGTTCCGCCTGGTAGGTCTTTCGCCGCTGTCCGTAGTCCCGTTCCTCCTGTAGTAGATCTCGTTCATAAACATCATCGCGGGGTACATGACATCGGGCGGCTAACAGGCTTCTCAAGGCAGACAGGGCCGAGCTAACCTTCAGACACTTCGTCTGTTGGAACAGACGTTGGGCGGCCTCCCACGTGGTGGCAACACTCATGTCCTCACAACGGCTGCGGTATGGCAAATCAGCATCGAACTCGTCCTGGTTAGGTGCCGGCTTCTCTTGGAGCAACACCACATCTCCTAACACCTGAGCAGCCTTCCGGGTTCCCTGTCTCACAAGCTTCTGAATCTGTGACATGTCAGTCAGGGAGGCATCCAAGGTTGGAACAACAATGACAAGACATGTGACTTGTGACTGCAGAGCATGAGTAAGTGCTTGCAAGAACTCCTGAGCATCCGGAGTGACAGTCAGAGTGGCAAAGTCGAACCCATGATGATCACGTTCCCAGAAGGTCTTGGCCTGAACCTTGTCCAAACCTAAGCCACAACTCAAGACATGCTCCCAAGTCCGAGAATCCTTTTTATCGTCTTTTGAAAAACCCTGCATTCGTCCTTCCCGAGTGTCCGGAATGTCTCGAGAGTCCATTTGCATCAGCTCGAACGTCGTAGTCATCTGTCGGTGGGTCCGCGACAAGGAGCTGTGCAATTGTCGACATCTTCGCCGGCTCAGGGGTTCCCATGAGTGGCACGTCTCCATGCCAAAAACTCCTGGTAGTCCGCCTGGTGGCTGCTGCTCGTCTGGTGGCTGTTGTTCCCGCTGGCCTCGCTGATCTTGCTGGGGCTGTAGAGCTCGGTCGGGCTGGCCGTAGGCTTGACCTTCGGCTCGACGCTGAGCAGCTTGTGGCAGGTGCGGCACCGCACCCGGGTCACGAAGGCATTCGACCCGGACTGGATCGTGGACTGATGTCCGCACAGGTCCTGGATAATGCGTACCAGGAACTCCCGTGGGGAGTGGTCCACCGTCAGACTCTTCAAGATGCGGTCCCTTGTCTCCTTGAAGTCCTCGTCCAGGAGTGGTTGGCGGGGGCACCACTGGAAGAGGCCGCACTGGTCCTGCTCGCGGCTGGCGCGACAGTTGAAAAACACCCGCTGGTAGTTCGTCTGAGTCATGCTGAGCTCCATTTTGCACACCTTGTTGCAGTGGCACACCGGCAGCTCGTTCCCCAGGAGCTCCGCACCGAAGGTGAAGATCTCCTGCTGCTTCATCTTGTCCGTCACCTTGGCATCGTCCATGGTCGCCGCCGAGGTTGCCGTCGGTGTCTTCGAGGCTTGGGACGGAGCCTGGGACCGTTTCTTGTGTGTTACCGGCATCGGTGGGGGTGGTCCCCGTGGTCCGTCCGACGAGCGTGGTGGAGACGACACCGTTGAGAGGCGCCGTCCTCGGCTCCCCGTCACCCCGTTCCAGTGGGTGTACTCCGAAATGGACGCCACCTGCATGGCCGACGAGGAGCTCGCCTTCTCCACCATCTCGAAATCG